GGTAGGAGATCTAGGCAGGACACCAGAGGGCAGGAGTAGAACATGGGACCTACTGTCCACACCTGCTCCCACTTTCAGTCTCTTCACAATAGATCCTCCTTCTGGGCCCCATGAGCTTGCTGCATCACCCCAGAACCCCACTGGCCTCTTGTGAGCTCTGGAGATAGGCCACACCCTGCCCCCAGTCCTGGAGCCTGAGCCTTCTTCTGTGGTTCTGCCTGGGGGTCTCTCTGGCCTTCATCCTCTCTCATTGAGCGCAGGACATGCCACTCTCCTTTCACTATCATCTGTTCACTAAAACCACTTGCTGCCTTCTGGGACCCGAGGAACACAGCAGTGGAAATTGGTTGTGGAACAACAAAACCATTATTAGTGGTTTTCATTTGCACAGCATTGCGGGTTACAAATATGTCTACTCATTACTGATAGCTTGTGAAATTCAACTGCACATGGATTTATCATCATGGATAACCATAATTCATGAAGCTATGTTAGAAATACCAAAACGGATGCTTCTTCACTACAATCATGGGCATATCTAACCCTATCTGCATGTACGAAGATTCCAAATAAGTGTCATGGGTTCTCACATGGACGCAGCCTACACAGACAGAACACAAGCTATGTCTGGTGCCCCAATAAATAGCAGAGGAGGTGACAGTAGTTTTGATACTTATTTTATTCGGTCTAGTATCCCCAAAATATTGTGATTTCAACATGTGAACGATAATAAAATTATTAGTAATATAGTGTACATTGTTGTATAAAAATCTTTGAAGTCTGGGGTAGGCTTTCATGTAAAGCACAGCGCAGTTGGACTGGCCACATGTCCTATGCTCTGTGTCCACATGGCTGACACTACCCTGCTGGAAAGCCTCATTGCACAGTGCAATGAGATCACTGGCACTCCAGAAGTTCAGGGGCCTCTGAGACAGCTTCCTGACAGTGACACAAAGTACATTTGTGTTCAGCAGCACTGAACACAAATGAAGTTAAGGGGAAGATGGAGAGAACAGAGCCCGGGGACCAGAGACAGGCTGCACCAGACATCACAGAGATACCATGGAAGAAAGGCAGGCACTGCACGCCAGAAGAAAAATTAATGTGAGGAGGTGACATGCACGAGACGAGACGGCTGGGAGAGTTGCTGTAAGGAGGGTGAAATGCCCTCTGGAGGGAGAGGAAACTGACGGGGAATGGTGAGAGAGGCAGAGGCAGGAGGACTGTGAGTTCAAGGTCTGTCTCAGAAAAAATATTCATCAGCTTTAAGACATAAATAAAATGTTATAGAAGTGCAAATGACAATTTACAAATCCATTTGCATGGTGTACTTCTCCACACCAACCACATCAAAAAGTACGTAATGGTACGGAGATCTTGAAAACCAAGCTTTCCAGCAACACCAAACACAATTTCTATCCAAAAGCAGGAAGCATCTTTACAAAAATGAAGTACACATCATGTACCACAGAACACACGAACAAACTGCAAAAAGCATGTGGAACACATAGGCAGAACTAACAATAAAGTACAGCTCCTAGAAAGTATTCATAAGAAAATTTTAAAAGGAATCAAAGTAAACATAAAGAAATTACTTAAGTTTGGATGTGTACACAAAATGGAAAACATTGGGACATGTAGGCAAAGTACTATTTAGAGGGAAGCTTATAGTTTAAAATCCATTTACCAGAAGGTAAGAAAGACAATTAATAGATGAGCTAAGCACACAGACCCAACAAATCTATCCAAAGGAACAGTTCACAAAACACACCAAGAGAATTAGACAAGATAAAACAAAGTGAATTTTCAAATAGGATTCTTAGCTAATAAATCCAAACATGACTCTATCACAACTGCAATAAACAAAATGAGACAAGAAATACTAAGCTGCTAGAAATGACAAAAATAATACAGAAGTGAACATAAGACAACATAAGCTTTAGCCAAGAGATTTGAAACTATCAAATAAATACACACTTCCTAGGAATATATTGGTTAAAGAAAAGCTAACTAATAAAGAAACAAAGTCCTCACTACATTAACCAAAGGAAAAAAAGTTTAACATATGCTTAGTATTTCTCATCCAAAACTGAGGACCAGAGGCATAAGCGTTTGGTGATAATTTCTCCAAAGCTGTGATAATGTGTTAATGCAAGCATAGATTTGCTCATTTGTTCACTTGGTAAATATGTGCAGACTTACTGTGTGCTGGAAATCAAGGTGCAACAAGAAGGGGACACTTTTTACCCCTGGTTTGCATGGCAAAGTCAAACATAGTTTAACAAACAAGGAAACAAATGAAAAATAGTTACTAGACAAATAAACAGACTGGTACACACATTGGTGATAATAGCCACGTCATGGGTTGAATTGTGTCCCCAGGAAGGGATGTGGAATGCTTACAGTGTCTGCACATGTGCAATGTGGCCTTTCTGTAGTCACCACAGTCCAGAGAAAATTCAAATGAGGTCCTACTGGACTAGGGTGGAGGAAGAAATGCAAAAGGATTGGAGCTCCCTGTGATGAGAGGCAGACTGAGTGACACCACACAAGCCAGGCGTGCCAGGCTGCCTGCAACATCAGGGGCTGGAGGCCAGGCAGGCCACCATGGTCCTCAGAGGGGACCCACATTTCTACTGCTTTAAGTTGCTGGTGCCTTATTGGGGGACCCCAGGAATCAAGCAAGCCAATGAGTGAGGCTGGAAAATTGAGCAAGAAGGAGGCCATGCCCATGGTCAACAGAGGCCTGGTGAGAGGTGAGAAACAAAGAGTGGCCCAGCAGCTGTAAAGAGATTACCACATCTCAGGGACAAACAGCTGGGGCCACGGCTGCACACAGCTGAGAAACAGGAAAGGTCTGGGACAGGGAAGCCCTTGAGGCTGGAAATCCAGCAGGGCTAGACCACCTTGCACCTGGAGGAGCTGGGGGATGGGGGAGGTCCCTCAAGACCAACAAACACTTTTCCTCACTTACCTGTTCAAAGTCCTCAGGCTATTGTGTAAGGAATGGATGGTAGGAGAGAAGACTACAGTTGGGAGTTCGGTCCAGGGATGGAAGAGATGTTAACTGGACAAAGAAAACTAGACTCCAAATACCCTCATGGGGAAGAACAGATTCCACCACGCACTGCATGTGATGTGTTTCAAATCAGGCCCTCCAGGCAACAGGAGGGAGAAACCAATGCAAACTGCGCAACGACATGACATTTGCACCTGTAGAAGCCATAGGTCTGGAACTCAATGTACTTATTGCCTGTCATCCTTCCTATTTTGTTTCCTCAGTACCAAATGTTTCCAAAAGCTGGATTACTCAAGTAGGCAAAAAGTCGGTCATTCATTATTCTACATCCTCATTCAGGTCCATCCAAAAGATGAGAGGAGTGAGTAGCTCTCACAGAACCACAAGAAAACTCCTTTGCTGGACACAAGGAAGACCAGGCCACCCTCTCCTCACAGAACTTCTGGTGTGGAAAGACATGTACTGATTTCACTAAAGCTCCCTTGCGCTGTGTCCCCAAGCTGGAGGGCTGTACATCACCAGGGCTCCTCAAGGCAGAAGTTCAGGCCATACCCAGATGACTTTGCAACTTCTCCCTGGTTTGGGGTGGGCACCTAATTGATTGATGGAGCACAGATCAAGGCTGACAAGGACAGAGGCCACCATGACAGTCTGTATTACCAGAAGTGGGAGTGGAGTAGTTAAGGTGGCCAGTGACTACGGGGTGAAGGAGAGTGAACCACAACAGTAGAGTCCACTCTACACCACATGAAGGGGATGGATCACGATGTCAGTGGACACAGTCAAGGGGATGGACCATGACATCAATTTCCACTCCACCGCATAATCAAGGGAATGAGGCATGATGTCACTGAGTCTACGCCACACCCGTCAAGGGAATGGACCATGGGGTCAGTGTCCTCTCACCACTTTCAAGAGGATGGATCATGACGTCAGTGTCTTCTCCACACCACAGTGAAGGGGATAGAGCATGACGTCAGTGTCTACTCCACACCACAGTGAAGGGGATGGAGCATGACGTCAGTGTCTTCTCCACACCAGTGAAGGGGATGGAGCATGACGTCAGTGTCTTCTCCACACCAGTGAAGGGGATGGAGCATGACGTCAGTGTCTTCTCCACACCAGTGAAGGGGATGGAGCATGACGTCAGTGTCTTCTCCACACCAGTGAAGGGGATGGAGCATGACGTCAGGGTCTTCTCCACACCAGTGAAGGGGATGGAGCATGACGTCAGTGTCTACTCCACACCAGTGAAGGGGATGGAGCATGACGTCAGTGTCTTCTCCACACCAGTGAAGGGGATGGAGTTCGAGGTCAGCGTGCACTCAGCACAGGTAGGTGAAGCAGCAAGACAGACTGTACAAGGAAGGAGCACGTGCTACGCCACAAAGACTCACGGCAGCCCTGGGTCCTCCATTCACATCTGCAGTTCCTATGCGGCTCCAAGCATGAGCCCAGTGAGTGTGCCTCACAGCTCATCACGCCCTGATTTACCACCCAGATCCTCAATCCGCGCTCGCCCTGTCCTCCCCTTCCCCAGCGGGCCGTGCCAGGAAGGCGCTGGGTCTGATCTCCAGAACCGGGGACACCTGAAATACCCCAAGAAGGTCACTACTCGGAGCTTCACAGGGCACCGGAGCTGGGGCACTGTCCCCAGTCCCGCAGGGTCACAGGGGTGGGCCCCGTGTCCTTCCCCGATCTGTGCGGCGCGGACCCCACGTCCGTCCCGGGTCTGTGGGGCGCGGGCCCGTTTCCCCAGAACCCCGCCACGCTCGCGAATTCAAGAGGCCCTTGGAGATTCCCGGGATCCAATGCTTTAGTCCTGTCATAGTTTAATAGCTCTGGATACCGCGAGATTTCGCGCCTTTAAAGTTAAAATTATCGCGAGAGGACCAGATACCGCCAGTCTCGCGACCCCTCCTAATCTCGCGAGACGAGAATTCGGAGCTCCTCCTGCAGAGCCGCGGGCCAGTTCCGCGACGGTGGCGGGGGCGGGCACCATGCCTTCCGCGTTCTCGGTCAGCTCCTTCCCTGCCAGCATCCCCGCGGTGATCACGGTAACTACGCCGCTGGAGTAGCTAGGCCAGTGCAGGCGCGCGGTCGGGGTCGCCTGAGCTTCTCAGCAGTCCAGGGCTTAGTGGCCGAGGGCTGCGGACTGTGGCCGGGAGCGGGGCGAGGCGGGCAGGAGCCGCGGGGGCGGGGCTGGCGAGGTGGCTCTCAGGTGTTTCCATCCCCAGTTGTCCACTGGGTTGGCATCTCGGCAGGGCGCGTTTCCTGCCCCACCAGACTCCAGACAGGCCGCTCTGTGCACCGTTCTGTAGGTGCTGTCGCGCAAGAGGCAGGGTTGGTCCCTGCTGAGTGCAGGGGACACTTCCAGCTGGCCTGAAGGGCTCTGGGGTTCCAGACTCCAGGGCACATTTTTGTCTTATGCAAGAGGGAGCTCAGGGAGGCGCAGAGGAAGGGCTGAGGAGGCTGGGTTGGTGGCTGAGCGTCAGTAGGAGTTGCTGAACCTCATGTGGAGGCACTGCCCATACGGAAGCCCAAGAGATGAGGTCCTACCATCGGGAGGGTTAGGTGCACTGCAGAAAGGCACAGATCCCTTAGGTTACACATAACTGTACTCACCAATCAGATGGGGAAAGATAGTGGTGCCTTATGTTCTGTGTGCTGAGACGTTAGAATCTTTTAAAACCTTACAGTGGAGGGGATTCCTATTTCCTCTCCCTGATTTCTTTTCCTGCGCCATGTATCCGTGAGGCTTAGCCATGTTCTCCGGGTTATATCTCTGTAGCTAGAAAACTACGGGTGAGGGGCCAGGGACTCTCACTGGGCTTGAGGAAGCTCCAGGGATTCTGCAGCTTTCTAACTATGTCCTCATAGCAGACAGACTGGACTGAGCCATGGCTCCTGGGGCTCGCTGCCTTCCATGTGCTGTGCCTGCTCCTCACATGGCTCTCATCCCAGAGGTACAAACTGCAGATTGGACATTTCCTGTGCCTGGGTGAGTAGACCAGAATAGATCCTTGTGCACTGGTTGCTGTGATGTGGTCATGTGTGTTGTGTTGTGCTGTGTCTTCAGAATACATAAACATTTCACAGGACTCCAGCCTTCCACCAGGCGTTGTGCATGGAAACTGTAAAGTATGTCTGCATGTTGAACTTGAAAGGGGTCTGTGGAGCTTTCCTATGTGCCTTGTTGGCCTGGGAGGGTGCTTACACAGCAGTAGGAAGCAGACATTGGCTCAGCGAAATGCTGGTTGTCTTTTCACAGATGTTTTCCTGCTTGGACATTGTACCCCACTGCTTGTAAAGTAGGAAGGCAAGTTCTATGCATAAAATGAGCTGTTGCCCAGATTAGTTTTAAAGACAGAGCTCCAGGAATTTAGGAAAGGGCTATAGATGCATGGAATAATGGAGAACGATTGCACAGAAAAAAAGTCATGGAACTGGGCCAAAAGTGTGAGTAAAACATCAGGAAGAAATGATTGGGAACAGGTAGCTGGAGCAGAAGGTCTGCTCCAGATGAGGGCCAGGCAGAGCCCTTGATGCACAGGTTCAGAGATGGATGGGAAGCAAAGTATGGCTCAGGTCAGGACACCACAGCCTGAGGGAGCTAAGTGCTCAATGCTGTAGTTTCATGCTAGACAAAAGGTATGGGTGGGCCTCTGCCTGGCTAGGCTCCTCTTCATTCCATGGACATTGGAAAGACTGTAAAACTTATACTTGGTAATGAAAAATACAACAGCTGACTTTAGACAGATTTAGTCAGCCATGTGCAGGGTACAAATCTGAACAAGAAATTACCTTAGAAAGGTGAGTGGTCAGATTTAACACTCACCTTGGTGTCTGTAGCACCTCTCCTTTCCTGAGTTGATGAGAACGGCAGCCAGAAATTCACCATGTCTATTCTTAAGATCCATGCCAGAGGGGCCTTTGATTCTCATGGGGATCCCGTTGTCAAGGTTGATTTCTACACCAAAAAGGTCTCTTCTGAGCTGCGTGTGCCCAGCGGTGCCTCGGCTGGTACCTGTGAAGCTCTGGAACTCTGGGACAGTGATAAAATTTGCTACCTGGGGAAGGGTGTCTCACAGGCTGTTGAGCACATCAATAAAACTATTGCACCTGCCCTGGTTAGCAAGAAAGTAAATGTTGCGGAACAGAAGATCAACAAACTGATGCTCAAGATGGATGGGACTGAAGATAAATCTAAATTTGGTGCAAACGCCTTCCTGGGGGGTGTCCCTTACTGTCTGCAAAGCTAGTGCTGTGGAGAAGGGCGTACCCTCGTACTGCCACATTGCCAGCTTGGCTGGCAACTCTGAAGTTGTCCTGGCTGTCCCGGCTTTTAAACATGATCAGTGGTGGCTCTCACGCTGGCAAAATGCTGCCCATGCAAGAGGTCATGATCCTCCCTGTGGGAGTGGCAGGCTTTAGTGAGGCCATGCACATTGGAGTGGAGGCTTACCACGATCTGAAGAATGTCACCACGGAGAAGTACAGGAAAGATGTCACCAACGTGGGCGACGAGGGCAGGTTTGTACCCAGCATCCTAGAGAACAGGGAAGCCCTGGAGCTGCTGAAGAATGTGATGAGGAAGGCTGGCTACACTGATGAGGAGTCATTGGCATGGACTTGGCTACCTCCAGTTCTTCAGTTCTTCAAGTCTCCCGATGATGCCTGACCAGCTGGCTGACCTTCATCAAGGACTACGTACGCACTGGTGTCCGTGGAAGACCCCTTTGACCAGGATGACTGGGAAGTGTGGCAGAAGTTCATGGCTAGTTTAGGTTTCCAGGTGGTAGGGGACAATCTCACAGTGACAAACCTGAAACAGGTTGTCAAGGCCGTTGGTATGAAGTCCTGCAATAGCCTCCTGCTCAAAGCGAACCAGATGACTTGGTGACTTAGTCCCTGCATGTGTTTAAGCTGACCCAGTCCAACGGTTGGCACGTTATGGTGTCCCATCCACTCTGGAGAGACTGAGGATACCTTCATTGTCAATCTGGTGGTGGGTCTCTGCCCTGGGGAGATCAAGAGTAATGCACCTTGCTGATCTGAGCATCTAGCCAAGTACAACCAGCTCCTCAGAATCAAGGAGGAGTTGGGCAGCAAGGCCAAGTTTGCTGGCAGGAACTTCAGAAAATCCCTGGCCAAGTAAGCCATGGGCAGGCCAGCCTCGAAGCCTTCAGTCACCACTGTCTACATAGACCCTACCCCTGATGTCTGCAAGGTCAGAGCAAAGCCCCACCCAGTGCTCACAGGGCCTGTGGTAGTTAGCTCCCCTCTCCTGCAGAACTTCTGCAAAAGCCACATCTGACCACTGGGAGCCCTGTTGGAAACTTTAGCTCCGTACTCCTGTCATTGGTCCAAATTGTTGTTGTCACCTCGCTTGCCAAGTGTCTGGAGCCTTTTGTACCTCCATTATTATTTCTACAGTGACCACAGGCAAGATCCCCAGTTGTTTTATGTGCAAAATAAAAGCTTCAGTGACCCGTGGGGAGTAAACAAAAGAAAGGTGAGTGGTCTGTACAAATATGGGGTGGGCAGAGTCACTGTGTCCATTTCTTCATACAAGAGTCTGTCTTTATCAGGTGTGTCCTAAGGAATGCTGGGAATACAGTGGTGAGCAAATTTGGCCCCTTAGCTTAATGGAGCTTCACCAGGATGCCCACATTCAGCAGATAATCACAGACCTACTTGCACTCTTTCCAACTGTGACGAGCTCTCTGACAGGAAGGTCAAGTGTACAGTGAAAAACATGCTGAGGGGCCAACATAAGTCCTGCAGCTCAACCTGAAGTGTGGAGGCACACAGGCCTGATCATGCAGAGGGATATTGAATGCAAGGACCTCCAGGCAGGTACCGTAAAGAAAGGCAGTAGATGAACAAATGTTGTCGTGAACTAAAGAACCATGTGGGTTTGTGATTTCGAAGGGGAATGACTACAGTCATCGTAGGGAAATAGTAGACACTGCTTGATGCATCTCATGACTCATGAAGTGCTCAAAGCAATGTAAGGATTGACTATCACTTGCTCCATTTTCACATATGAGACACACCAAGGCTCATGGACCCAATGCATGGTGCATAAGTGGCAGGACGGAGATCCAGGCTCCAGTAGCTTCTGCAGGGCTCCTCAGCTCGCATCGTCCTGCCCAGCCCCCTGTTCACACCATCTTCTGTTGGCCTCCCTTTGTCTTCTCTCTGGTTTTGCATTTCCCTTGGCTTCCCTGCTGTGCCTCACTGGGTCCAACCTGAGGAGGCAGTCAGGAGATGGTGGCTGACTCTGGCTAACCTGCTTTTGATTTGATTCAAGGAGAATGAAAGAATTTGTATATTTTCACTTACTTGAGAATACCAGAAGTTAAGGCAATAGGTTTTTAGTTTGCTGTAATACATTTTGATGCAGGTTGCTATCTGGGCATGGGTCAGGTGTGAACATTGGCTCCACTTCTCCCTGATATGTTGGCCATGGGCAGGTGTGCCTTGGGGCCCTTGGGAAGACACTGAAGGACTGGGGAGACCCGGCAGCTCCTGCAGGGTTGTCACTGTGCTGTTTATCACGGCCTTGTCCTCTCCTGTCTTGTGCTTCCTACACCTCCAGGGCTTCTCCGCCCATTCTCTGTGGGCTTTTTGGTAACTGTCCCACCAGAGCAGCTGAGTATGGGGTTGAACAGCATTTCATGTCATTTGCAGTTCTGCTGCAGCTTGTCAAGTAGGACTGATCTGCAGCTCGTAACAGTGCTACTGCAAGCAATGCTGTGCCCACTGGACTTGGTGCCTAAATTGCAACTGGGCCCTGTCACTGCAGAGACCATGGATCTTGAACCTGTGCCTGATTGATTGATGGTGCTTGATTAATTTTCTGTTAAGTGGGCATAGTCTCTCATTTGGCAGTTTATAATTCATACCTCATGCCGTAGCTAAAATGGAAAATGCATTTCTTAGCAAACTTGGTATTCTGTTACAGTGGTATAAGACGTTCTGTTGTAAAGAAAGTATAAATTTATTCTGTAAAGCATTATACAATTGGCCATCTGGACTCTAACATGGCTTCTCTTTTCTCAGTAGTGCTAGTTTATTGTGCTGAGTATATCAATGAAGTCGCAGCAATGAACTGGAGGTAAGGGCAGCTTCCTGTCCGCTGGCCTGTGACTGCAGCTTCGTCTGTGGTGGCGGTGCCACAAGAACGCCCCATACAGAACACTGAACTTACAGGAGAACAAGGGTGCCAGGAATTTCAGCCATGTAAACCTCACTTCAGGCCTTGAGAAACAACTGGTTATGTGTTTTGAGCATGACGCAACCCTTTGTAACTGAGCCATGTTAGTTACGTGGTGTTGCTCGATGCAGCTAATACCAGTGTGAGAGAATTTAAAAAGGTGGCATTTTAGAGAAGACTGAGTCCAGGATGTGGGTAGGGCAGAAGGGGGTGCCCTTTGCGACCTCTCTCCTGCTCTTGGCACCATCCTTCTTATGCCTGGGTCATGCTACAACCTCCAGAGATGACTCCTGTTTCCCTGGCCCCCCCTGCACCTGAGTCTTAGTGCAGAGTGCTAGAATGTTCCAGAGTGTCCCAGTCATCCCCAGGAAAGTATAGTCCCCCAGATGCCCACAGCCTGGCAGTCTGGCCTCTGAACCCCCCTCTTCTGGACTCTGGCTTCAACCCTCCTGCTGGCCCCACTGCAGCCTGATATCCACATGTCACCATCAGTATCCAAGTCACTATCAGGCATGGCTTTCCCCATAGCGCACATGCTCCCCACAGTGTCTCCAGGACATGGCGACTGGTATCCAGAACTGGCTCCATCTGCCAGGGCTTCTCTCCCTCAGTTCACTGCTCAAGCCCAGGGCTCAAGATTGCAGGTGGCAGGTTTCCCAACTCTGCTTGTACTGAGTTAAGGAAGACTGTGTTTCCTGTGTTCCCTCCCAAGAGCACCTGCAGACAAGTCCTGTCCGCCATTTCCTGGCTCTGTTGGGTGGGCCGGGGTCATTTTGCCTTACTTCTCTTAGAGAAAACAGCACTGACTTTGGAAGGTTGTTGTGATAGTACACTGCCTTCTTAAGGAGCAGTAGTGTGGATGTGGTGATTTTATAGTTGAGAAAAAGGCTGAAGATGTTAGTGTACAGGTTTAAGAATTTAAGACTTTAGTGTCTTAGAGTTGATATCAAACCTGCCGTAACCCAAAGGTCTCATTGTGGACAGGTGTCCTTGTTCCTTAAGTCACCCTTAGGTCAGCTGCTGTCCCTCTGTCACCTTCTGGGACTGAAAGGCCCTGTTGTGATGCCAATTTTTTTTTTTCTTAACACAGGTTGTTTTCAAAATACCAGTATTTCGACTCCAGGGGAATGTTCATCTCCATCGTGTTCTCAGCACCGCTGCTCCTCAATGCCATGGTCATTGTGATCCTGTGGGTGCACAAGACTTTCACTGTGATGGCTGACCTGAAGACCCTGCAGGAGCAAAGGAAGGAGAAGAAGAGGAGGAGAAAAGAAGAGTAGCGGGGGTCTGCCTTCGTTTTCCCGCTCCCATGCCACCTTGAGTTACGCTGCGTGCGTCCCAGGCCGCCTCTGCCAGCAACTGACTCATGGTTTGGAGACTGGTTCTTGTTTTTGATGCCCACAGTGATGGCGCATGTGTGATGCTTCTGGAAACCACCATCACATTTTTGGGGGCTTTCTGATTTGGCTGTAGCAAGTGTCCTATGCAGCCCCAGGGCTTGCTGAGTATCCTTATATAACTAGCATCAACTGTGAAGCATTCGAGCCGCACTGTGGATGTGGGGCCAAGTAACTAACAGTGACACCTGCTTGTGCCACCATCACCTGTTTGTCCTGCTGTTGCCAGCCTGCAAAGGTGTCTTCCAGCTGAGCATGGTTCTGCCACACACAGGTGTGACACTTGCTTCCCACTGGAGGCGGAGGTGTTGCTTGCGTCTGGTGAACAGAGCCAGGAAGCTGCTGAAATCCTCTAGGCACAGGACAGTCCCCACTAGGAGCATTCTGTACCAAGTGTCCACTAGACTCAGGTCTGGAAAAATGCAGTGTGTCTCAGTTTAATGGCCAGCTCCCATGAGGCTAGAACAGAGTTGAGGCTACTCTACTGAAAACATGTTTGTTTAAAAGAATTAAACAAGCCATAAAGCGAGGATCCACAGAAAAGAATATGTTGAATGAGCCCTGCAATCTTGTTTTCCCCACGGCACAGTCAGTGGAGGACTTAGCTGTTTCTACCTTACCTGTGGTGAGCACACACCTGTTGGGTTCTGTCCTGAGCATCATGTCTCTTGAGGTTTGGGGTAGAGGAGCACATGCTGCTGACTGCTGGGCCGGGTGGGGCTGTGTCCGTTATGTCAGCTGTGCCCTTCCTCAGATGCTCTGGCTCCTGTCGCATATGGAACAGTGGCTGGAGATGACGTGACCAGAGACCCAACGGGAATGCTGTTGACTGTCCTGTTCGACTTAAAGAAACTGTGATAGAATTTTAAGAGTGGTTTTCCCTAAGTGAAATTTTCCTCAAATTTGTACAAGAGAAGAAGCATACAGATGAAAGCATTGATATTTAGGTTAAAAGTTGGCAGCTTCATAAATTACAAACCTGTCTGAAATCCACATATGTAATTTTTTATAGTTTTTATGTGATTGCTAGCTCCCTGTAGAGACTGTTGACTGAATTCCGATGAGGCTTACACACGAGTCAGTATGCTCTTCTTGAAGTCACGAGCTTGTGACCTGTAAGTTTTTCCTGCCCCTCGTTGATTTGTTCTCCTTTTACATCGAACACAAAAAGTGACTTAAATAAGGGCTCAGGTGTAAGTTGGTGGTAAGGTGCTTGTGTAGCATATTCCAGACTGGTTTCCATCTCCAGCACTCCACATGTGATGTGACCTGTCCAGTCATGTGATTGAATCATCTGAGGGCAGACCGATTGTGTGTGCTGAAAATTACTGATTGAGGACATTTAATGGTGTTACGGGTTCAGAAGTGTGGACTGTATCACAGAGTAAGAACAAACGGCCAGTTGTATTTGAATAAGCTAGTCTGGAACAGGAGAATGGTGAGGGTGTGGGGCATCCAACATGTCTGTTCCCCTCCTGGGCCGGTGAAGAGTGGGGAGAGAACTGTGGGCACAGCTGTAGAGGCTGCCGTCTCAGGGAACTGGGCATTGGGTGTGGCTGGAATGAAAGGAACCAGGGCTATTATAGATGCTTTGTTCTGGTGTAATGTCACCATCTACACAGTCCATGTGGACTGTCCGTGTGTGGGGCCATCTCACTGAATCTACTTTTCCTGTTAAAAGGTAATGCAGTAGTGTTTGCTTTGCATTCTCTTGATCTTAATGACTCAGAAGAGTGTGTGACCATGACCTGGGTTTTTGGGTCTTCCTTCCATGTGTGCATGGACGTGTGTGCTTGTCACATTTTGGCACAAAAATAAATTTTTATCTTTTTAGTGAAGTTCATATTTGGTGGCTGCCTTTACATTCTGTTGTCTTGTTAGGGAATTCCTGCAGGCTAAACTTAGAGCAGTTGAATGGTTTATGAACCCAGTGCAGGGGTACTGCTGCTCTGAGGAGTTTGCAGGTGTGGCCATGCTGTGGTCATTGCCTGTGTAATAAGAGGTTTGTGGGCAGCCTTCTGATCTTAAGGACACAGCTGTTCTTACTGTATGTTTGTAAACAAAGCAGGGGGAAGGAGATGTGATAAAAGCAGCTTGTACATTCCAACCTGTGACACCATAAGTTTATTGATTACTGTGCGATAAAATACATCTTTGATACTGTCTGGGGTGCTTCCTTCAATGAGCATGTGGAGCCTTACCTGTAGCGAGCTCGTCTGTGGTGTGGGCCCCTCACACGTGACCTTCACAAACCCAGAAATCCAATGTTGGCATTGTAGAAAATCAACTCAGGCCCAGAGATATGCATGTCAAATGAGAAAGCAGAATGTGAACCTGAGTAGGTGACTTCCTGTGAGAAGTAGAGTGGGGGTGTGGACATGGCCTCCTTCACAAAATATCCAAGGGATGAACAGTGCTCACAGGTCTGCTGAGAGGCAGAAAAGGAGCCTGTGTCCTAAGTCACGCTCTAGGTGAGGTTAGCCCACAGAGGCAGCGGCTCTCCTGACAGCTAGGTTCCCAACGCCTTTCCTTGGAGAAGGCCTCAGCTTCAGGCACCCAAATGGTGTGTGTCCTCAGGACAGAGAGGAGAGAGGCTCTGAATGGCTTCCAGCAAACCCTTCTTCCCGAATGTGTGGTTGTAGAATGTGCTGATGTCTGGAATGGAGTCTTGGGTGCCCAAGGTTCCCCCAGGTGATGCTCAGGACTCTAGCTGCACACAACAGTCAGTTATCAGAGGATCCATGTTGAAAGGAGCCAGGGGTGCACTTGGCGGTGTGGGGGCAGTGAGACACCAGCTGAACTGCAGGTTTTGCTGCAGTTGGTCTTGGGGGCAGGGAGCATCTGGCCTGCAACCGCCCACCCACGTGTGCACGTGACAGACAAGTAATGGCTGTCCACATGCCAGAGACCACTAAGGTAAACACGAAAACCCAGTGGAAAACAAGTAAATTGCGTATGCAGTCATCTCTCGGTATACACGGGTATCGCCCCAGGATCCCCTTCAGATTCCAAGTTTGTGTCATGCTCAATTCTCTTTGTGAAATGGTGTAACGTCTGTGTAGAACCTTCTACTTCCCCATTCTCTTACAGCTTAATGCTTCATCAGTAGAAGTCAAGTTTGTAAATAGTCGTTGCTCTGTTATTTAGGGAAGAACAAGAGGAAAGTGTTGTGCTGTGCAGATGCAGTTTCCTTCCCCACACTTTCACTCTAGGGTTGGCCGAATCCCAAGGATGCAGAAGTCATGGACATGGAGGGCCAGCTGCAGATTGGCGTTAGAAGTGTTGTGGAGAGAAACGCAAGTACCACAGGGAGCCGCTTCACTTTTAACAGGTTAGTGGCATTTTAAGGAGTGAAAGGGGGGTGCAGACACCCAGGGCAAGTCCCACACAAAGGAGGCCACAGGGAGGCCCTGAGGCAGATGGGGCCTGCCCAGGCCAGCAGGAGGCCCAGCCTCGAGTGCCTCCTGTGGATGGGTTCCACAGCCTGGGAAACCTGGCTCTTCATGAGGGCCATGAGCCACACTCCAAGCCTCCTCAGGGCAAGGGCAGGGCCGGCTGGGGTTCTAACCCAGGCTCAGGCTGCTCTTCTGGAAGTGAGCTGAGGAAGCTGCAAGTGAGGGTGGGCAGGACAGGGAGCAGCCTGAGCATGGGGCTTCAGTGGGAAGGTTTGGGATTGCCTCTTGACATAAGTCGGGAGTCAGATGTTTGCCCACTGGACAGCGGGCACAGGCATCTCAAGGCCTGGACTCTCAAGGGAGGGTGAGCTGGGTCTCCCTTTGAAGGATGTACAACCTGAGGCAAAGGAGTAGTGTAGGCCTACACACTCAGCATAGTAACCAGTGTGGTGCTGAGGTACCATGCCCAGAAGCTAGATAAGAAAGTACCCAGGGCCAGATGACCAGCCCTAGATTGAGCATTGCTGTGGCCCCTGGCCTTGGAAGAAGCTTGTATCATAGAGACGAGGCCAGAATATGCCAACAAAGTATCCGTCGTCATCAGTGGTACATGTCCAGCCAGCTGTTCCTGCCTTGTCCCGAGTCCCTGATGTTCATCCAGCTCATTGCGATGCCTCTACAATTATCAGTGTTTGCCCTACCTAGTTCTCAGATGGGAATTTTTTTTTCTTTTTTGTGGTAGTGGGGGCTTGAACTCAGGGCCTACACCTTGAGCCACTCCACCAGCCCTTTTTTGTGATGGGTTTTTTTGAGATAGGGTCTCCCGAACTATTTGCCTGGACTGGCTTCAAACCACAATCCTCTGCCTCCTGAGTAGCTACGATTACGGGTGTAAGCCACCAGTGCCTGCCTGTTCTTTAATTTTGGAAAATTTCAGCTATTTCTTCATATCATTGCATCACTACTAGGAAATACCTGATGCTTAGCCTGTGGCAGGTGCAGGGTATGGACACAGAGGACCCCGACACAGGCACGTTCTCTCTCAGGTGTGGAGGGAGGCTTCGCTGCACAGTTGGGCCCAGAGTGGCTGCTAGCTCCAGGGCCCATGCTGTGTGGTTCCCTCTCCTGCCCTCCCCATAAAGCCCCCTACTGGTGCAATGTGCTTCAGAGGCCCTTGTGATCTCTGGGGGACAAGGATATCTCAGCTAGTATTGATCCGATCGCTCTGTGCCAATAAATAATTTTTCTTCACTAATTCCTTCTTGCTGAAACTAACACTGACCCCTTATAACCAGGGGGTCCTGTGAACAAGATCTTATGAAAGTAGACTCCTTTGTAAATGGGACCCTATATAGACAGGATTCTATATAAATAATATCCCATGCCCACAGGACCCTATGTAAACAGAATCTTGTGTATACACGCACAATCCCATGTAAACAGGAACGTATATAAATATAACACTATGTGGACAGGATCCCATGTAGATAGTACATTGTATAGACAGGCTTTTATGTAGAGAGATCCAATGTAGACAGGACCCTATGTGGACAGGACCCTGTGGAGATAGGACCCTTTAAGAAAGATCCCATGTAGATATGACACTGTGTAGCCAGGACCCTGTATAGATAGACCCCTGTGTAGACAGGATCCCATGTAGATAGGACACTGTATAAACAGGATCCCCCTGCCACATGCTACCCAGGGCTCCAACTTCCCACACTACCCAGCCACAAGTCCCAGCTGCCCGTGTCGTGCTGTCTCAGCTGTCCAGTGTCAATGCACGGTGTGTTGAGCAGCTGGAACTGTCCCATGTCAGGCCTTACCAGCATTTCCCTCTGAAATCTACAAAGTGACTTTCAGCCCTGGAATCACAATACTTCATTATCAGCACCATTTCGATGATGTCACAGTAACCAAAGTGTATGGGGTTCAGTTCAACTCACTCAACAGGTTTCAGATGTTGAGATGCACTTTTCTCATGAGTTCCTTAACAGGAAATGCAGAAGTCTGCAGCCTTACAGGCACACTTTTCCTTTTTGTTGCTGACCTGGAATAAATTCCTACCTGCAAAATAACTTGAAATGACTTTGAATTGTTGCTAAATCAGTGTTCAGAAGGCATGCTCCACTGTCAGGTGAACATGTGCTGGCTGTGTCTCCACGCACTCACATTTAAAAAGTGCTCTTTGGAAGGATGGGTAAAATCTCATCATTTTATGTTGCATTTCTTTGGTTACCTGTGAGGCTTAGTTAACAACTTTAAGTAATTATTGGCACAGTACACTTTTGTCAATTATCTATTCATCATTGTATTTTTATGAATAATCTTTATATATTTTATTCTTTGTTTTACAATACAACTTTGTTTCTAAGGCTGGATATGGTGGCTCAGCTTGTGCCTGTAATCCTAGATATTTGGGAGGCAGAGATCACTGTTTGAGGACAACCTGGGTGAGACTATTTCAGCCATTAAAATAGCTGGGTTATGGCGGCATGGGCCTGTCATCCCAGTTACATGGGCAGCAAAACATGATCCAGGCCTGGCCAGCCATAAATGCAAGATTCTATCAAATACCCAGAAAACAAAAAGGGCTGGGGGTGTGGGGTGGTTCAAGTGATAGAATACCTGCCTGGCAAGCATGAGGCCCTGAGGTCAAACTCCAGGTACTGTCAGATGATAGATGGATGGATGGATGGATAGACAAGTAGCTAGGTGATAAGCATTCCTAGCTTTATATGTCAAAATCAACAACACATGCAAGTATGTTTTTCCAATCTGGGTTTGAGTTTGACCTTTGTTAATATTTTGTATTGTATTGAGGTTGTGTGCTTCCTGAGAGGCTGCAAAGGTGGAGCCCTGGCTTGCTGGCTGCCTGCTGATGGTGGCCTCTGCCTGTCATAGGTGCTGGGAGAAGGTAGAGTGACTGAGGGCAGCCAGCATAGCTTCACCTCCTCTGTCTTAGGCATGTGCTGGGTGTGGATCTCGACTAGGGGTGCTCAGACGTCTTCCTCCTGTGGCTCACACTGCACAGATTCCACCACCATCTTTTGGCCCAGCTCCCCAACCCAGCACCCGGGGTGGCAGGGGAAGGAGGGACAAGCATCTAGAACCATTGAACTTGAACACGGAAGCCAATTTTCCTTCTCGGGTTGGCATGTGAAGAACTGCAATGCATTTGTCCATTCTGTCACCCAAGTCTGACTTCTGCTCTTAAATTCTCCACAGCTCACTGATGTGATGATTAGCAAATCAGTAGTGAAGTTAGTCAGTTTACATTTTGGCAATATAGTTGATCCAAGGATCCAAAACATGTGGTACACAGTATTAAAGTATTTTCCTTTTGAAGGAGGCCGAGCCTGGCTTGGTGGGATCTCATCTCTCATTCCCAAGCATGACTATCAGCTTGACAGACTCTTCCTTCCCTTGTAACTGGTTATCTGCCCTCAGTCTGGGCTGGGACTGGGGACATGCATTTCACAGGTCACAGTCCTGTGTGACAGTGAATGATCAGATTTTCATTCTCAGAGCTGAGTAAAGGGAGAAACTGGAAGAAGAATTTCTTTCTGAGAGCAGGCTCTGGGCTCCCCTCTGGATGGTGAGCTCTTTCACGATCACTCCCCGCAGAGTCTTGGAAATCCACATCCTTCAGGGGAGGCCACTTTTCTTTGACACAAGTGAAATTGTGTCATTTCCATTCTGTGGAACTCTGCATGGTTAACAAATTACTTACGGGAAGCAAAGAGCCCTGGAGAAACACTGATGGGCAGAGGAGAGAGTCAGAGCAAGGGACACTTAGGTGACCCAGGACACAGTGGCCTTTGCAGCAACCTCTTTTCCACCCTGTGTGGCAAAACCTTGGGCATCTCCTGCTGGACGTATCCAGTCACCAC